AAATGAGCCTCCTAAGATTTTATCGACTAGTAAAAATTTAAAATACATAATCTCAATTTCAGAGAATTTTTTGATAACTACAAGATATTATTACAATAGCTAGAATTGAAACAAATTTTTATTAACCAGAATATGCTTTTAATTCTGATTTTGAAGAATCTTATTGAAATTACTCTTTATGGCATAAAATTATCCAAAAAATTATCCATATTTATTAATGTATCTGATCAGATATAAACAAAAAAAGTTTTGTCTTAGTTTTTATTTTTATCCACTATTTTATCAGTTACTAACTCTTCGTTATGCCTTAACATCTAAGAAAGATATAATGCAGTTAATTTCTTGTGTAAATTTTAAGTCTTGAACTTCTCATTTGTAAATACTTTTGTCAGGCAAACTTAATAGTATTTGACTCAACATACACTATAAAGAAAAACATGACCAAAAATTTCCATCTTTTGAATTGTGGAAAGTAAAGATGAAATATGTTGTTAGTTGATTCACCTATTAAATAGTTATTTCTGAATTTTAATATTTGTATATATTATCTGTTATATACCACTAAGTGGGCTCTTTTTTGTTTATTGCTATTGTGGTGTCCATGTTTAAATATCCTTTGAGTAATCATAAGATGATAACATCTAAGTAATATATTTAGGTCTTCTAAAACTGATAAGTCATGTTGAGCATATTACTTTATAATATTAATATAACTTCAGATTATCTTTCTTTATAAACAGAATAAAACATGATTTAATATTTGTATTATCCATGCGTGCATTTGTATAATTATTCTGTATGTGAATTAGTATATATTTTGGGGAAAAATAAAAATGGATGTCTAAGAAGTGGGGAAAAATGACCTATAATTTCTACCCTGTTTTACCTTTAATTAAGAATTTTTATTATCATCATAAGGGTTTCCAAATGTACAGGAATCGATATAACTCAAAAATGAGAAAAATGATTAATGCTAGTGTTTGTGTTTCCAATTTCATATTTCTGTATGAAAATGAAGCCCCATTTTCATAATTGATGTCTGAATAAAAGCCCAAAAATGAATGTACAAACCAAGACCTTTTAAATAATTGCTAAATGATGTCATATGTTTCCATTTGTTGGTAGGACTGAAAGTCAGAGAGATGGATGGTTGGACTTAGAAAGATGATTCAAAATCTTTTGTTAATTTCTGCTTTGACAAGAGTTATAATCAAGCAGCTAAAAGAAATGATCTTGAATGTGTTAGAGAATCTCTTCATTAGGCTCATTATTAAAATATTCTGTCAGTAATATAGCATCTGTAAAATATTCATGAAGGCAATATATATAAAATATATGTAATTTGCATACATACATCACATCTATGCAATTTTAGAAATAAGGAAACTCTATATCAGAATTCTTTCATCTATTAAGTGGGGCTATAATAGTCAACTCATAAATTTGCTGTGATCATTCACCACTAATCACAGTATCAGTCACAGTATGAGGCTTGTATAGTAGGCCCTTCTAGATTTTCGCCCTTTTTCTGAAGTCTCAAATTAGGTAAAAATGAAGAGAATTCATAAAGCGAGATGAAGAACATAAATCAAAAGTTAGGCTCACACAGCTTGAAAAGCCACAGGAGATAGGAGCAAATATTCATTTTGCTAACAAGTTTGTGGTCTCAAAAAGCTTATCCTTCAGAAAATAGGCATTGTTTATATCTGAAAAAAAGATTATTTTGAGCAAATGTAATGACATATTTTAGTTTTATAATAACTATTATATTGACCCTGTCAGAAAAAAAAGGACTTCTGTAGATCCCCTAAAATATATTCTATGTTCATAATGCTATGAGCAAATTCACTTAGTAACATTTATTGATATTATAAATTGTGCCAGTTCCCAAGAATAATGTAAACAGGGTTCTTCCCTTCAATTATCAAGCTGGCAAACTAACATCAATAAAATCAGAACAGATAGAAAGTTTAGATGGAATGAAAATGTATCATACAATTTTCTTGGACTTTCTGAGAATGCCAAATAATTATATTGTTGAATTTTTGGTGATTCTGATTTGGTATTAAATGCTTAGATTATGTCAACTTTTGCAATTTTGCAATAGAATTGAATTAATTGGATAGATATGCATGTACATTATTAAGAAAAACAGAATGAAGAAGAAACCCTCAAAAATTTACAAAAATGAAAATATTTAAAATATTTCAAAACATAGATAGAATTAAATAAAGTTAGTAGTGTTTAAAAACACATAGCTGGGGGGCCTCCCTGGTGGCTCAGGGTATTAAGATGCAACCTATGAAGCTATTCACAGCCACTGCAGCAGGAGTTCAACCCCCAGCCAGGGAGCTACCCACATTGCACAGCAGACCTCTCCTGACTCACCCACTGCTCCCCTCAACAGTGTATTTCAGTCAATCTGCCTGTTCTGTTCCCCACTCTGTCTCTGATGAATGCTCTCACCCCCCACACTTCTGGCCTGTACCCCAGTTCTTGTATGCATAAATAAATAAATCTAAAAAAAAACATAGCTGGGAAGGAGAGAGTTCTTATCTGAGGGACCCTTTTTTTGACCAAATTGTTGTATTGGCCAAGGTAATTTCCTTAAAATTGCTTTCAATCAGTTTGTTTCTAGGTGCATCTGAAGGGTAGGATAAAAGAAAATGAAGAGCAGATGAGCAAGAGTTAAACTATGAGTTGATAATGATTTGTAATGTTATACTTCTGGACACTTTAAAAGACTCTAGGGCAATACTCTTAAAGTGGATCAACAATTATTAAAACTATTGCTTTATAGTCCCTCAAATACTGGTCTAATAAAATACTCTGTATTTCTTGAATTTTCACAATTACAGAAAATAGGATACTGTCTGGTTTATAAACAAATGCTCACAGTAGCTGAAAATATATGGACTCTCTACAAAACATACCAGGATTTATTCCTACCCACCTTTATTAACGTGGAATAAGGAAAAAAAAATAATGTTTTGTTGGGGGGGAACTAAACTAAAAAACAACAATAGAGAAAACCCTGTTACTTGTATTCCAATTTCTAGAATCAAATGAGATAGCTGATTTTGAAAGGTTAAATTTAGGATCTAATGAAATCCTTTCAAACCCACTGTCTACTGGGAAAAGAATCACAAAAACAACCTTATATTTTATAATCTGTGCTAAGCTTGGTAATGTTAGGTACTTCATGGGGAGTTGTATAGGACTATTATTATTTTATGTTCTTATATTTGATAGCCCTGGGAGATACTTGCCTTTGCATTAATTAAATACATATATTGTAAGATCCTAATGAGAAAATAGTTTTACTAACATAGACTGTATTATTTTCTATTTTACATATGCATGAAAGTTAAAATTACAAGTTTTTTTAATGTATTTTATTTATCTCCATTCTGCTTCAACTGTTTAGGAAAGCTTACTAATAAAATAAAAAGGTATACAAATTAGTAAACAGGAAATATGTGTGCACATATACACAACATTTATTCATTTATAATGCCATTAAAGCAGGTTCTACTTTATGATCATAGTAATAGCACTCCAGGCAATACCCATTTTCCCTAGTGATTAATGTAGCACCATAGAGTTTTCAGAAGTTTGTTTTCTTAATTTGACTGGCCAGGAAGCATTTTCCCTGTTGAAAAACAGGTATAAACATCAATACCCCAAATAAGAGAGTGGTTTCATGCTGTTTTCTGATGTCTCCAGTGTAGAGAATTCAGCAGGTTAAAGTCTGAGAATTGAGTAGGGTTATTTATCAGAAGTAAAGAACTAGGGGAAAAAAAAAAAAAGTGGTGTTACTCAGAGACTGTAACTGTTAGAATGACAGGATGCTTTTAATAGCAAAATAATCTATCAAACACTTTGAATATATAGGGACTGTGTGGCAAACATGTGAAGTCAAATGCAAGTATAGTAATTATAGGTAATTTGTGAACTGTTTCTAATTTCCACACTGGGTAAATTATATACCTATCCTCTTGAGACATGATTTGACTCTGAAGATCTACTGAGGTTTTCATGGCTTGATACTGGTTAGGTTGTTTCAATGTTCTCTTATATTGTTCTTCATATTTTCAGCTGATTTTGAGTGAAAGAAAGGAAGATTTTGGTATTAAACGCTGAGCTATTTTTTCTGTTTTTCGTATTTTCTATATTTAAATATATTGTTAACCTTTAATTCTGCTTTACAGTGAATTAGGGGTTAAATGTTATGGTTGAATTCTATGTTCCATATCCTCTCTTGGGCCTGTCACATTAAATAAATCATAAATCTTTCAGAATATTGGGTTCCATGCTAGTTGACTCATTAAAGACTCCTAGGTACTGCAAAATTGTTAGAAGGCGTTACCAGCTAATCAGGGTAAGAAATGCAAGCCTCTAAGCTGTACATTAACATCATTTGTGACAAAGGAGAAAGCAAAATATTAATAATAACAATTGGCTTCTTTGTTTGTTTCTAAAAATTGTTCCCATCTTATTTCTTATCATTAAGTTTTGCTTTAAAATATCAAAAAGCATTTAACATGCATATACTCATCCATCTTTAACATTTCTTTAATTTTATACAGTGGTGTTATTTGTGTTTATTTTCGTTACGTTGTTTTTTGTTTACTTTGACAAAGCATGTCATTTTTGTTTTACCTATCTGTATTTTGCTACTGCATGTCAACCTTTTATTAAAAGAGTCAGTCAACAAATAAATTCTTGTCATTTTAAATTTCACTCTAAATATTGTGAGTAATCTGCTTATTCTCAAACATTACTCCTAGTGTTTGCTCTATGTAGGAGCATTAAAAAAAAGTGAATAAAAAATGGCAAGAACTGTGTGGTACAGCCAGCTTTGTACCTGACGATCTGTTTAAGCCTGTTAAAGTTAAACCTAAATAATATATTTATATATATAATTTGAATCATTTGTGTTTCTCTTTTGTTTGCATGATACGATTTTGTTTTATATTTTGTTTTTTTCCACTCACCAGATGTTCCCAACACTTTGCTTCCCACTACTATCATCCCCTCCCTTACCACTGCAACAGTCACAACCACTGTAGCCATAACAACCAGTCCAACCACAACTGCAACAACCAACAGCATCAGAGGTACAGTATGCTTCTTTGTTATGGCCTGGAAAACACATTAAATGAAGCTTTAAAGGGTTTTTGAAAAGGGTAGAAAATTGAGATCCAATTTTACTTAATTTTAATTAGCTCACCTAATTACTATCAAATAAGATTATGGGAATATAATATTAGACAAAATGGTATATTTTGTATTTTTTATGTCACTTATGACTATTATGAAAATATTACAGAATGTGGGTTAAAATTATGCAGCTCTACAATGTCAAGCAAATTTGAAAGGTGAACATAGGATAATGTTTTATTTTTTTTACCTTGTCTTATAAATGCACACAAAGAAATAAGATGTTCAAGGACGCAGAAATCACATTTGCCTTCTTACGAGCCTACTTTAATGTTAATGACTTATTATTCCTCTGCAGCTAGATTCAAATACTGCAGAGTTGATTTTGTTCCACAGTAACACAATCCATGGGGTCATTATAAATTATTTGCCACATAGTACTTTTAAGTAAATATTCAAAATGTCATCCTAAGGTGATCCACTGAGTAGATCTACTTAATCTATTAACAAAATGTTCTAAAAGTGAATATTCTAAAGTTTCCAGAATGCTAGGAATGATATTTAGCTCCATCTGTAATTTCTTAGATCAGTTTACTACTAAGCATTTTTACCTTCAAGGGAAATAACCGTGAAGAAATTGAAGTAACACTTAAGGGCAAAAAATGTAATTATTTTGTGGTTCAGAAATATAAAAACACATTTCTGATCAGTAATTAAGTGGCTAGTATATGATGAAGAAAGAAAAGAGTTGTTTGAGATCTTTACAGAAATACATTTTAAGCTTAATTCCAATGTAAGCAATGTTCAGAAAGAATTTGTCTTATTTAAGTCTGTCTTTTGCTACTTTTTATATGTGTTTTTGTGTCATGCTTGCTATGCTAATATGTGTTAAGCTTAACAATTTGAAATCATGGGGACTTTAGATTAATATATCTGTAATTGAAGTTGCACCAAGGACAGGCTCAACATTATTTTCCTTCACGTGTGAAGATTGTTCATTTAAACTATGTTTCTTGGAATTTTTATTAATTCTCAATATTACATTGAGTTGTTCACTTTTACTTAATAGTTACCATAGTGATTTGTCTCCTGTTTCAGGAAAAAAAATACTAATGTCTGATCATTGTTAATTTTTAATAATCATGTTAACCACATCATACAAAGGACAAGATTGGTGGCTAAAATTTGATGATAATAGCAATAGGAATTTCTGTTTTATTTAGTATTACTGTTTTATTTAGTATTACTAAACCAATTGCATTCAAACTACATCTACAAATGAAAAGAATTTAAAGGTCTTTCTCATAACAAATTATATAGAAATGGGAGGAAAAATTTAAACTAAAAACTAAAATATACTTTATGATATCATGTGAAATGAAGGATACCTAAGGTTCTACTTTGCTTTATTCTTTTTCCAAAAAAAAATGTATAAAAAGTAACTCAAATGAAGTGTAACTATTGCATATTAATGAAATATCTATAATGTTAAGTTCTTACTGTATAAACAGGTCACTGTGATAGGAAAGAAGGGAGATAAATTGACTCTTTTTAAGAATTATTTTTATTTTATTTATGCATACAAGAGCTCGGTGTAGACCAGAGGTGTGGGGCTGTGAGAGGATTCACCAAAGACAGAGTAGGGAACAGAACAGGCAGATCTACTGAGATATGCTCATGAGGGGAGCAGCAGGCTAGACAGGAAAAGTCAGCTGCACCTTGTGGGTTAGCTCCCTAGGTGGGCTTTGAATGCTTGCTGCAGTGGCTGCTAACTCCTTGTGCCACCAGGAAGGCACTTGACTTTTTTTTTTTTTTTCTTAAGGAGCTACTGGTAAGACAAATTGTATAATCAAATATTCCTTCCTTAGCAAATGTTTATTGGGTACCTGTTTTATATATGGGACTATGCTAAACACTAAAATTATGGAAATTAAATGTATCTAAAGTCATTAGCAATTAAATTAATGCTTTCCCTCCCCAACAGCTGATGTCCATATTTTTAATGAGCAGTAAGTATTTATGTTCTTTGTGAGTGTTTATATACATATGACTAAAATAAGTGGAAAATGTTTTATTTCTAAGGGAAGTGCTTAACATTTTTATATTTGTTCACATATATCTTTAGTGGAATCTTTGCTATTGAATTTAACAGTCCACTACTAAATTGAAGTTACTTTTTCAATTGTTCAAGTAAATTCACTTTTTTACAGATTGCCTAAGATATTTTGTGAACTTTACACCATGGACTTTAAAAATACTAAAAGTATTATTCTTTCTCTCAAGCAAACATAAAAATAAACAGACCTCAAAAAGACACCACACTCCATATCCTTTTCCCCTCACTTAACAGTTGAAAGATAAAATTTTTCAAATGGCACCAAGATATGTGGAAAGAAAAATATATTTTGCAAGATAGGCAAATATATTTTCCAAATACATTTTGCAAGATAGGAAAAATATATTTTGCAAGATAGAATTAGGGCACAGGAAGGGTGAACAGGATAGGTGATTCATAGTATCTATTTTATTTAAAAAAATAGTAGCATTGATGTTGAATGTTAGTATAATGCCTATTTTTATCTCCTCTTTTCAATGAAGAACTGGTAACTGGGGAAATTCACCAAGCTCCTTGTATCATTAATTTTCTAGTAAATATTTGAGGAAATGGGGGCTTCCTTATAAATGTTGTACTCTATCGCTTTTAAGTTATGTTATTCTTTTTTTGTATATTATCTATTAAATTAGAGCTTTCATATATCAATAGAATTATATTTTCAATGAAATTTATTTGTAATTAGTAAAAAATGTTTCAAAGTTATGGTTAAAAAGAATCTTAATATGAGCAAGTAAGAATATGTTGGTTATGAAAAGCCAATAGCTAGATATTTCCAGCCTGCTGATATTTATGTTTACTGTCTCATACCTTTCTCTCATTCAATAATCTGAATTAAATTTATTTTATTATGTTGAAATGGCATTTCTTCAAATTTCATGAAATACATTTATCTATGTATGTTTAATAAATGACCACAAATGAATCATTAATCATATCTCCACTTGCACTTAAAACCACTCCTCTAATTGCTGTTTTTCATCCTATGATATAAGCATCCAATAGATTTAAGAATCACAGAAGTAGCATCCTCACTTTACAGATGACAATTAAAGGTGTTGAAAATTCAAGAAATGTAGGAGACATAGTGACATGTTGGTTATGTATATTTATGATGATTTTTTAAATTAGAATTGTTAACTAAGCCTTTTTCACTTTCCAAGATAGAAAAAAATCTTAAATTCATAACTGCTATCTACTTCTAACTCTGCAAGACTATTAATGCCCTACACATGTAGAAATGAAATGATTGATATGGAGGGAAGATAGAAAAATATTCAATGTACTCCCAGCCCTAATACTGAAAATTTGCTTAAATTCTTTTATTTATTTTTTTAAAGATTTATTTATTTATTTGTTTGTTTGTTTGTTTGTTTGTTTATACAAGCACTGGGTACAGTCAGAAGCGCGGGAGGGTGAGAGAATTCACCAGAGCCAGAACGGGGAGCAGAGCAGGCAGAAGGACCGAAGTACACTGCTGAGGGGAGCAGCGGGCGGCAGGAGAGGTCTGCGCGCCATGTGGGACCCTCCTCAGGTGGCCGGGGAGCAGTCGGGGATCGAACTGGCGCCGCAGAGGCTGCGGGCAGCTTCGCAACCCAGCGCTCAACCGCTGCGCCACCAGGGAGGCCCGTTGTTTAAATTCTTGATGCATTTCAGTATATCAGAGATGGAAAAAAGTCCTAAAAATGATAATGAAAGTGTTTACAGTCTGTTTAAAAATCCAAATGAAATATTGGTTCAGATATTGATTCAGTTTTACATCAGTCATTGAAATGGTAAAGTAATTTTTATATAACTAAAATGACATTATTTAGTGATCTCAAATGATTTATTAATTATAGTGAGGCCAATATCAGTGAAACATTACTTCAGAACACTATAAAAAAAATCCAAGAACATTTAAAAAAAAATTAATCAGCTATTATCAAACTGTCCACAAATAGAGTAAAAATAACCAAACACAAAATTTAGAAATGGGGACTGATTTTGCAGCTTATAGATAGTGATACTCTCAGCAAGAAAAGCCTGAAGCACTTGCCTGCCCCCGACAGACATTTTCTACACAGGCATCAATGTGACTAGATCAGCCTTGTGATTTTTAGTATGATGAAAGCAGGCACTTCAGCAAGAAACCATTAGAGGAGGTTGAGGATCAAGATTTATTACTCACATGGCCACATAGCAAAGATGCAGTTAGAAAGAAAAAGAGAGAGTCACAGGACCTGGCCTGTGACTTTCTTAGGATTCAAGGGTATGGTGTCTAGGGTTGATTTTGCCTTCGATTGACTGTTGGGGTAGACCATGGATCCTTTGGTAGTATGTGTGATGTAGTAGCAACACCTAAAGGAGCAGATCCTATACCTCAAAAGCATAAACAATGTAAACCAATGTTACCTCAATACAATAAATAAATAAAATAAATAATAAAGTATAAGAGAGAGAATTAGGGCACAGGAAGGGTGAACAAGAATTACTCAAGGGGTCAGTTTTCTAGGTTACTCAGGGCTTTCTGAGATGGGGAACTTCACAGTTGGGGCAGCCTAGTGGTTGCATCATGCTGCTAACAATATATTGAATTTTTTTAAGATTTATTTATGCATACAAGAACTTTGATACAGGCCAGAGTGCAGTGCAAGGGGTGAGAGAATTCACCAGAGATAGAGTGGGAAACAGACAGGTGTATCTACTAATACACTGCTAAGGGGAGTAGTGGACGAGACAGGAAAGGCCTGCTGCACCATATGGATAGCTCCCTGTCCAGCCAGGGATCAAACTCTTGCTGCAGAGGCTGCAGGTAGCTTCACAGTGCTGTGCTTAACCCCTTGCACCACCAAGGAGGCCCTA